CACCATAATTGGCTCTACCAAGCTGTTGAGTCATCAGCCAGCTGACAAAGGCCTCCCGGGTGTCATTATTAGATATTTATTTTTTTGGATCAGTCACTGCTGCAGACAGAAACATTTGAGTCATTATCTTATGATCTTTTCATTGTCCTGTCCCAAAACCTTCAGTGGCTCCCTGTGATCTATAGGCAAGAATAGGTTCAGAGTCCTTAGAGTGGCATCCAAACCGGGCACCAGTACAGTCATAATTTTCCATTTCTCTGTATGACTCTGTCTAAAGCCTATTTCTCTCACTAAACTGGAAACTGCTTTTGTTTATCATTTCACCAGCACTTGGCACACTGGCACAGGGAGGCTGCTTAATAAATATTTGTTGAATGAATGAGTGAGGGCAAAAGAATAATGTGTTTTCTGTAGAGGCTGTCGTGACTCCATTCCTGGCCTCACGGACTGAGCTCTCTGTGGACTTCAACTCCAGATCCAACAGAGCAATGACCTGGCTTACCAGAGGCCCCAGACCAGGAATGGGCAAAGGTCTTTGGCACTTGAGAGCTCCCTACCCCAACTCTCTAAAGGGCTCCGCTGCCAGGGTGTTTGTTTTGTAAGCACTGCTGAGGTTATAGGAACAAAAGGGCTGGGACAAAAATGAATGTGAAAGCCAGGTGTGGTGACGCATGCCTGTAATCCCAGTACTCAGGAGGCTGAGGCAGGAGGGTCACCACAATTTTGAGGCCAGCCTGGGCTACATAGTGAGTTCAAGGGCAGCCTGAACTACATAGCAAGATTCTATCTCAAAACAACAACAAATGTGAAGAGTGCTTGCCCCTTGTCAGCTGTACCCAACATGAGTAATGGGGATTTTCTGGAAATTGTCAAGAACCAAAGAAATCCTTTCGGTAATTTGAAGGAGATATTTTGTACAGCACAAAAGGCAGCACAATCATGGCCAGTGGCAGACCTCACCCAGGAAAAAGCCCCCATCACTGAGGTGGCAGGCTCCTGCCAGAGGGTTGAGTGGGGACAGAAATCCTCCCTGCTCACTCTGAGCCCCGGCTATGTCTGTCTGGGATTAGGGCATCTTTTTCTCATTTTTCTCATTCACACAAAGGCCTAGAGCAGTGCCTTTTCCTACTGCACAAAGATATCTTAGGGAGCTAGTGGTGGTGATGGTGATGAGGCTTTTTGAGGGCATTGATCAAAAATTGAGGTTTTTAAAAGAAGCCCCCCACATCTAGCCAGAAGTTGAATGGGACTGTGGCACCTGCTCAGATGGGCTTAGGAGCTCTTTCGACCCCGCCCCCCCATCCTAGTTTCAAGCCCTGTTGTGCAACTCCCTGCTCAGTCCCTGGGGGAAGTGGAGGCCTGAGACTGCCCTCCTCCCACAAGCCCATGAGTTGCCTTCCACAGGGCCTTGGTGGGCCCTAGACTGTAGGAGCCAGCTTGTAAACTTATCTGGGGTGTAGGTTTGTAGGGATTTAACAGATTGACTTGGAAGATAAAGCCACCCTAAGGGCTGTAAGGAAATTGTTATATGTTGACCAAAAAACCTATGGGAGAATGAGGAATAGGTGTATTGTGGTAGGAAAAGCACAGGTACCTAATGGGTCTCCATTCAGAGCAGCCTGAAACACTAATTGTTGATTAAGAGTCATGCACATTTTTCTTTTATCTTCAGAGAGAACTGGAGGTGGAGGGGGGCAGCAATACTCTTTAGATGGTAATTTTTCTTTTGTTGGGGGTGGAAGGATTCTGGGCATCACTGGTATACAAAGGTCTTAGGACCATGCACACTAGTCCCCATGCTGAAAAGTCTCAGGAGAAATACTGGCTCCTTGTGAACAGGCTCATTTAAGATTTTCTCCTACTTGACCCCAATTATCAATATCTAATGTCCCCACTTGGGGAAACCAAGGGTTGTATTTAATGATTTCTTATAACACTTTTTTTTTTGGGTACGGGGATCTAACTTGGGTCCTTGCGCTTGTGGGGCAGGCGGAGGAACCACTGAGCTAAATCCCCACCCCATCTTATAACATTTTTGACAGACTGTGTGCTAACCTGTGCTCCTGCCTGCTTTAAGAGTATTTTAAGCAGCTGTACATAGTGTTGTTCTTCAACAGATAAATTCTCCCCATAGCCCTGGTTTGAAGGTTTCCCTCAGTTACTTACTTTAACCTTTGCCAGCTGGCCTTTGGATTTTTTCCTAAAGGATTCCCCTGTCATCTGTCCAGTTCCCCACCCATGTGGAACTTCTCTTCAGGTCCCTGTTAGGGCGTCAGTTGTAGGAGCCAGCCTGTAAACTGATCTAGGGAATACAAATGAGGAATAAAGAGGTAAAGATAAATTTCTAAGCAAGAGGGACTGCCTCAAGAGGACAAAAGCACAGGGAGTGTGGAAATTCCTATTTTTTTTTTTAGTAAAACAAGACAATGTAACAAACATGCGACTTAAAGAACAAAAAACAGGGCAGGGATTTAGCTCAGTGGTTCCACCGCCTATCTTGCAAGCTCAAGGATCTGAGTTCGATCCCTGGTACCAAAAAAAAATTATTTAAAGAACAAAAAACTATAGATGATTAACAAGGAACATTACAACCCCATACTCAGATATATAATTTTCTTTGTTTAACCCTTGGCTGATGTTGTTCTGCCCCAGGGTTATTGTGGATGTCAATATCCCTGCCCATAAACAAGAGAAAAAACAGACTTCTGTCCTCTCCTGTCCCTGAAAGAGGTCAACAAGGCCTCAATACCTGTAGCTGATCACATAACCTGGTCTCTTGCACTAGACACTTTCTAGCAGTTATAAATCAGGTCACAGGCTCATGTACAAGAAAAGTCACAGTGCTAGAGCTGGGTGTGGTGGCCCACGACTGTAATCCTAGCACTCAGGAGGCTGAGGTAGGAGGATTGCTACAAGTTCGAGGCCAGCCTGGGCTACATAGTGAGTTCCAGGCCAGCCTGAACTACAGAGTGAGACCCTGTCTCAACAAAACAAAACAACCAAAAACAACAACATAAATATAGCAGTGACTTTTTTTCTTTTTTTTTTTTTTGAGACAGGGTCTCACTCTGTAGTTCAGGCTGGCCTGAAACTTACTATGTAGCCCAGGCTGGCCTTGAACCCATGCCAATCCTCCTGACTCAGCCTCCTAAGTACTGGGATTACAGGCTTGTGCTACCACACTTGGCTACTTTTATTATATTAGCAGCCCTTGTTCTCTGGGCCCCTTTCCCTCTGCTAGCAGAAATTTAGTCCTGCTTTTTTTTGGGGGGGGGGCACAGGGTCTTGATACATACATAGTCCAGCCTGACTTTGAACTCACTATGTTATTCACACTGGGATGGCCTTGAATGGTATCACTAGACACCAAATGTATCAGCACCTGGACCTCAGACTGCCCTGCTGCCAAGAAGGAGCTATTAAATTTCTATTCTTCATAAATTACCCACTTTTTTGGGTAATGGACTAAGACACAAAATAGATTAAGACAACTTTTCTTCCTCAGGGTCCTTGCTGTTCTTCCCAAAAAGCCATCTTCCATAGAGTCCAGGCAATTCTTCTAAAGTGCAAATTTGTGCCCTGCCCCTAATTAAGACAATCCCATGGCCTCCACAGCTCTGAGCTCACACAAGTGAGTACAGCCCGGCTCCCGCCTCTTTCCCTGCCTTAGGGCCCCATAACCAGTATCGTCTGATAGAACTCCCAGGAGGCTTTACATCTCTGCCTCCCTGGATGGTGCTGCTTTTGCCTAGGACACCCTCGTCCCTGGCTTTCCTGTTTGCTACTTTGTACATTAATATTAAGAGGTCACTGGTAGAGTACTTGCCTAGCATGACCGAGGCCCTGGGTTTGGATCTCTAGCACCATGCAGGTATGCATAAGCACAGGCACACACACAGGATTACACGTGTGTCTCCTCCTCCCAGAATCCTCTTCTCTTCTTCAGGATGAGTCAGATTCCTCAGTAAGGCTCATCTCAACATGCTGAGCTGCAAGCTAATGGTTTATCATGTCTCTTGAGGGCAGGTGTCGCTGGATCCCACCATCTCCCTGCTGTGTGTTTCCTGGCATGAATGAGTGAGTGACTCCAAGGTTTGGTTCATTTGTGTCTGAGCATCTCCAACTAGCAGTTAAGTTCCTTGCATGGTCAAGGCCAGCCACTTCCTACAGGTCTTCAGGAATGGGTCAATATAAGTCAGAAAGTAGATGATTCTTGCCTCTTGGGGACTGAGGTGGGGCAAGTTTCCTGGAGATTACAGTTGCTGGTTGAACTGAAACACCCCCAGTCCTACTGGTTTATTTTATTTGTATTTGTTTATTTTTGTGGTGCAGGGCAACAAACCCAAGGCCTTATGTGTCAGGTAAAAGGGCCGAAGACCAAGACCAGACCAGGCCACAACAAGCCTTTATTAGGGGAATAGATCTGCCGGGCTGTCTCTGAACAAAGGAGAGACAAAAGCAATATGGCCGGGGCAGGGAGAGTCTTTTATAGAGA